TACTGCAGGTGAGATTGAGCTGCATGCAACCTTGGCTCTATGTGATGTAGGAATACGGTGCTACAGCGATCTGGTCATTCGCCTTTTCGTCACAGCATTTCCGTCGATCTTCCACGAATGCAGGACGGGACCACGGGTCTTAAACCTCACAAACGATAACTTCTTGTGGAGTGTACTATGCACTCTGATCCGGGCGGTTTGGCAAGTTTGCAGGATTGGGTTATGTCGTCCTGAGAGTAGTGAAGACATCATCAGAGACGACAACATTAGTGGACATAGATGCTTCCTGCGCTAAAACCATTAGGTTTATGTAGTTACCTTTAACGTCCTAAACTGAAAAGAGAATGAATGAAGAGGGGACCTCGTTCCAGTTGAGCAGGTGTCTATACCCCTAAACGCTCAACCACACAATATGGAAACCGGTAGCTAAGACACCACCAAAATCGGGTAGCGACCATTTTGGAACTGTTTCAGTCAAACACAGGGACGGTTACGTGGAACACATCCGGGAAGAAGGACCACAACAACTCCCAGACTCTTCGAAATCGGAAACGTGGCGACTAAAAGTGTTTTTATCTTGATTGAAATGCAAATCATCAAGCTTGGTTGGGTGATGATACAGAGTTACGACCAGCTCCGATCAGAATCCTAGAACTAAGAAGACACTATAGGCGGCCACGTGAGAATTACGCTTTGTGAAAAAATACCGCTTTTCGGCACAGCGGTGTCCTGTCGTATCCGTCCTCGGCACCCGCTCGGTCTGTTTTCACTGGGAAAAGATGAGTAAACAGCCAATGGCGTAAAACCAACGAAAATCAACGCAGCTCACCAGTTTTTCACTATGTATTGTAGCTGCCATTTATAAACCCCGGGTAAAATAAACCCGACTATCGATCCGTTTAATGACGAAAAACAAGTGTCGTGCAGAGTTAGCAACACATTGAAGAAATACAAGAGTCATTGTGCACGAAACAGTGGCTCTGCCGGATTTCCACGTGATTCATATCTTACTGCGTTATAAGAATGGTGTACAGAATTCCTTTACTAAGAAGTAATTTCCGGTGGTAATGACGTCGCAACTGTGAGGTTAACGTTTACTCATAATTTCAACAATCTCCATATTAGTGACAGGATGTAACAGTTCCAAAGTATGCTTAAACACAACTATTGGAGGCCATCGATCAGCAATTCACTTCGTGTTGAGTTTGTTGAAAAAAACCCTTTGTATGTATAGGACCATTCGAAATCAGAACAAAAGGTGCGCGAGTTCAACAAACTGGGAGATCTTTGATGCATTTATGAGTATTCATAAACCTATCTCAGTTTTTCGCTTAATGCATTACTTTTGAATTTCTCTTTGGAAAGTGTATGCGTTCACTGAGTCCTGAATTCGGTACAACTGTATGTTCAAATTGAGAGCGCAAAAGCACTCCAAGGACTCATCTTTACTAGATTTTAACTCAGTTGGGTTACAAACTGAGCCTGACTCAGTGATGCATAACGTTGCAACGTTAGCGACTGGTTTCGATGCAAGTGCCTTGAAGTTGGACAGTCTACCAGCGTCAACAGTTCTAGACCAGCGAAAGATATAGTGTGAAAAAGCTTAACATGCAAAAAGCAGTAGAACACAAACTTAAGTTGTCCGCTAATTCCAATGGCTCGATATGGCTCAGTGGTTAAAGCACGAACTTGCTGATCGAAAGGTCCGTAGTTTGAATCCGATCTCTGCCTCTCAACTTCCCCTGTCTAGGCTTAGGCAACCTGGCAGTATCCCAGCCCTCGTGCTTCCTTTGGATGGCACGGCAGCTAGGTACCGAAGGGGTGTTACATCTGAACGATTATCTTACGGTCAAGAGGAGACTGAACCTTACCGTAGTTTGACGGTTCGTGCACCTCGGTGACCCATTGGGGGATGGCGGCGCGACACTCACAGAGTCATACCAGGTTGGTCATGGGTAGAGATCTGACGAAGACAGTCTCCTGGCTCTCCAGGTTGGGGGTTGGAACATCTGGCGACTTGTTCCGTAGAAATGGTAATGCATTTGCATTCCCCGCCAAACATCGCTGTCTTGCGCTTCGGCTTTTGAGCCAAAGCTTTGGCTGAGGACCCTAATCGTCCTCCTGTCTAGGTGTGGGCGCCTTGGCAGAATCTCAGCCCTCGTACAACCATGATATTCATAACTAACAATACTCTCATGCTACATCGGCCATCGCGTGGTGCCATCAACCAGGTCGCCTAACTTGCTGCATACAGCAGGGCAGGTAAGTGAAAAGAGGCTACTGCTGACGCCTCCCTTCTTACACTTTCACGTTTTCCGTCTTCCACCCTCCCCAGTCCAAATCTGAATACTTTCTCCGCAGGTCCCAGCTCTAGGACTTACCGTTTTGCTCTGTTCCACATCACTCTCCCATCACTCTACATCACACTCAACTGCAGCCCCTGTACGCCCGAGTTCAGTCACAACGCTAAACACTTCGAAGTCCGTTTTCAACCCCCAAAAGCCTGTCTACCTAGCCGGCTTCAGTGTTCGCACACCGAAGGCTCTTGCTCGCATGTTGGATTCTCTCTGCATTGATGTGTGCTGTCTGTCAGAAACAGGGATGCAGGACGCAAGTACTGCGCTCGAACTGACTTCCCCCTCAATCTCTTCATACTTCTGGGCGGGTGAGGGTGTATGGTGAGCTCTCCAAAAGCTTCCCTACAAAAAGTGGTGTCAGACAAGGATGTCCACTCTCCCCATTCTTGTCCAACTTCGTCATCGATGAAATAATGA